GTAGCAGTCAATTGTATTTATATTAAATCAATACTCTACAATTATAAGAGTGCTTTGAAAGCAAATACAATAGAAAAGTTATAAACAACTACATAACACTAATTAACATTGTTTCTACTAAATGACGACGTTCTAAAGCAACCAAAACAGCATGAGAAATTGAAAGATCATGAACTTCTTGGAGAATTTTTGCAATGAAAGTTGCATTTAATCAACTATGTAAACATTGATTTTTTTGTTTTTAACCAAGCAAGATATACAGAATTAGCTTCCATATTTCCTTAAGCATCTTGTGTGAGTTTAGAAGGACAAGAATAACTTCCATTAACATAACCGAACAATTCGTGAGTAATTAGAACCGATAGAAATTGAGATTTTCATAATACATATAGTTATTGATATCTACTTTCAATGATGCATGATGTTTGGAGTAGGATTGACAGAGGCATCATCAGAGTAGTCAAATTAAGAGAGCTGGAGAGACTTGGTTGTGGAATGTTCTGCATAGCCGCCATGACAGAGAAAGATACGACAGATCTATATAGATTGATTGTAAGATATACTAATGGTCCTATAGAATAGTATGGTAGATGTTATTGATTATGATAAACAAAAGAGAATGAGTTAAGACCGTTGTTGTAATACCAAATGATAAGAGCGACTTCAAAGACATTTCAGGAGTTAAGGAAACCAAAATATCAAAGGTAGAAGCAAAGGTAGTATCTGTTAAAGGACCATCTCACCCGGATACGATTTATATTATTTTTTAACAAATTTCTTCAAATGAAAATCTTTTAAACTTAAAACTTGTCCAGCCTCACGTATGATGGTGGTGAGATTCGAACTCTCGACCGTTTGATCATTAAAGCTCCGATATCATGTCAAATGATCATTTCATCCAAAAACTTAAACTCTTAGATAAGACCTCAGAATATAATTTATATTATTCTTTAATAATATTTTCGATGGCCATGAGAAGAAATTAAAAGAATCTACAGAATCACAAAGCTGACCGTGTGACATTTAATACCATGAAGAATATTTAAGGTTGTATACCATAATATGGCAGAAATAAATTATATTTATATTAAACGTAATCATTATATACAATTACAAGAGTGTTATGAGAATAAATACAATAAAAAGGTATATACAATTACATAACACTAATATATATTTGACAACTAATCGTAGGCCCGTGCTTTTAGGCATTCGGACATCTTTTTCGCATCTATAATTCACAGGGTCCATGCAACTCTAGAGAAATCACAAGAAATTAAGGCCATGCATGTGACGTCTCATACTATATATGAAGAATATTTAAGGTTGCACACCATAATATGGCAACAATGAATTGTATTTATATTAGACAAATAATCATTATATACAATCACAAAAGTGCTCTAATTAAGAATAAATATAATAAAAGGGACTCTTATTTCTGATTGGCCAACACATTCCTAAGTATTGTTGGACATCTTTAGTTTCCCCATCTATAAATAGTTGGAACTTCTTTACAGGGTCGACACGCTCAAATTCTATACATGCAAAGCATAGGGTCGACAGCTCTATAGTTGTCAAATATGAAGGTAAACTTCTTTGATCTCCTGCGTCAAACTAAATTCCAAAACTTCTTTTCCTTTTTTTTTTTCTGGCGCCTAACTTCAGCAGTACTAGTTGAGAAACAGATGCATATAATTATCTATGCTTTGTTCTAAATATTGCAGCAAAAAATAGTATTTAAAGTGCAAATGAATTGCGAGAAATGTAGAAAAAAAGCCAAGAAGATTGCGGCGACGGAAGATGGTTAGTATGCATCACTTTCCACCAAAATTTCATGACTTAAATACCTAGCTAGCTTCCAGACCATGTCAAGAAACTAAAACCAATTTTATTATCTTTGTTACCAACAACTTATTTAAAAATAAAAATCTCAAATTGTTTTTTTGTGTTTCTAGGGGTGACTTCGATGGCGCTGGGTGGGGCAGCCAAAGATCAGATAGTGGTGATTGGAGAGGAAGTTGATTCGGTTAAGCTGGGGAAATCACTAAGGAAAAAGGTTGGTAATGCCAATATTATGAGTGTGGAAGAAGAGAAAGACAAAGGTAAAGATGAGAAAGACAAAGGGAAAGACAAAGGTAAAGATGAGAAAGAAAAAGAGAAATATCCATGGCAACTAACTCCGTATCCTGTCCCATATTATTACTCACAGCCTCTAATGTGTGAAGTGGTTTGTGATTCAAACCCTAGCAATTGCTCCATATTGTAATTAGACAAGTCCCTATATATTTCTTGAACATTGCCTAGCATCTCTGGTACTGTTACCTTGTACCTTATGAATTTGCCTGTCATGAGAGAAATTCTTGCTAGAGTAAACAATGTTTTATATTTGTGAAATTATAATAACTGCATGATTTATAAGATTTCAATGTTTGTTCAAGTATGTTTAAGGATGAACACAACGTTAATGCATGAGTTTTTTTTTTCTTTCTTTCTTACTTCGCGAAATTCTAAGGTGCAACATTAATTTCATGATTATAAATTATTTGCAATAACTTACAAAAAAATATTTGATCTAGTAACGTGGGATATTGTTTACTTGATACCTAGTACTACTATGTAATTCACCTCACATATTGACTAGGAAAAAAAAACAAGAAGAAGAAGAAGAAGAAGGGGACAAAAGAAACAAATGAAAACAAAATTGACCATGAAAGTCTTCACTAACGTCGATTAGATGGATTATATAACTCGAAACACATGTCATGGAAGTTACAGATAGAGGTGACACATAGTAGTTTGGTTCAGCTTTCGATTTATTCGATCTATTCAATTGTTTCAAAAATTTAATGGAACCAAATTTATGAAAAATCCAATTAAGATAATCAAAATATTTTGGTTTGATTGTTCGGTTCTCAATTTTTTTATACCTCAATTCAATTAAAAAAAAAATTGGAGACATATAGAAAGTTAATTATGAGAGTAAAATAATTTTTATTATCCACGAAAATAAGTATACTCTGACCTGATTTGTTATCATAAATTTGAGTGGCGGGGCAGAGACTAATTAAAGACCAAAGACGACTTAATAGCAACCACAAGTGAGCTTCTTTGAAAATGGCCTATACCAAAGACCTGATTTTTATTATTTTTTATGGAAAATAAAAAGGCACATAGTATCTTCTTTTCTTTATTTTTTTTATCCTTATGGTATTTAAAGCCCAAAGTATCAAACTAATTAATCGCTATCCTGTTGGACGCACAAAATGAGAACAATTACCTAATGAGATTTTTATAAACATAAAAATTTAAATCTGAAATCATTTACTTAAATGATTAGAGTTTATTTTTTTCATTCAAGTCAATTCAAGTCAATTCTCTTAAATTAAATAAAGAATAGACCAAAGACTTAATAGAAACCACAAGTGAGGTTCCTTGAAAATGTCCTATACAAAAAATTCAACTCATGTTTGAAGAACCTTGAAAACCAGACTCCTCACCTAACAATACTATGCAGCACTATTCTCCACTCTCCATTTGAAGTCACCAAGTCTTTTCAACATCACCTATGTATTAACAATATTATAGTCAATTTTGTAGTTGTTGTTTTATAAAAATAAAAAATTACATACACAAAACATGTTTACCTATTGAATTAAGCTACATGGAAACGTTTTTGTTAGAAATGAAATGTTATAAAATATGATTATTGTATTTATATATATACTTTCCAATTAGTATATATTGAAGAATATTTATGCTGCATACCGCAACATATT